ACACTCAGTGTGCACACTTCCTTTCAGTTCCGCCGGAAACCGGAACCTGAAATTGAAGTTCCTGTACTGCGGTGCGAGCTGTTAAGCCAGCCCACACTACAATACAGGTAAGTAATTATGGGACACTATGGTACAAGGGGAGGGGGGACACTATAGGACAAGTGGAGGGGGGGACACTATGGGACAAGGAGAGGGGGGACACTATGGGACAAGGGGAGGGGGGGACACTATGGGACAAGGTGAGGGGGGGACACTATGGGACAAGGGGAGGGGGGCACTATGGGACAAGGGGAGGGACACTATGGGACAGGGAGGGAGGACACTATGGGACAAAGGGGAGGGGGGACACTATGGGACAAGGGAGGGGAGGGGGACACTATGGGACAAGGGGAGGGGACACTATGGGACAAAGGGGAGGAGGGAGACACTATGGGACACAAGGGCAGGGGGGGACACTATGGGAGGGAAAGTGCACTATGGGACAATGGGAGGGGGGGACACTATGGGATCAGAACACTAATGGACAAGGGGAGGAGGGGTTAAAGAACACTATGGGACAGGGGAGGAGGGGTTAACAATCACTATGGGACAGAGGAAAGGGGGGTTAAAATAACTGTGGGACAGGGGAGGGGGGTTAACGATCATTATGGGACAGCAGAGGGGAGTGGGTGGTAAGGAACACTATGGGACAGGGGAGAAAAAAAATATTCTGGACAAACTGTCCCATGGTAAGAAACACTATGGAACAGTTCAAAATATTTTTTTTTCTGGGTTTCCTCCTCTAAAATCTAGGTGCGTCTTATGGTGAGGTGCGTCTTATGGAGCGAAAAATACGGTAACTGTTAGCCAAGGTTTTATGGCTCTTCGCTGTGTGAAGTTGCTTTTTGTCCATGAAACTTACCCTCATAAATCTTATTAAGTGACAGAAGATGCTGTTAGCCATTGAAACGTGTATAGCCATTCCATTGTATTGCATATTTATGTTATACTAAATATTCACTGATTATTATCATGCATGCTGCCTAATATTATTTGTTAATTAATTTGTTACAATAAATAAATCTATTTTTATAACAAATTGTGATTTAATTGTATGGAATACTTTTCACTTATTTGATAAACGATCTCTAAGATCTAAGAGGATTGAAATAGTGGGCAATTCTTGACTGCTTAATATTATCATCCCATAAATATCCCCACACTATCTACATACCCAGCTTTAACAGCTTGCAGATCATGAAATCTTCATGATTTGCTTGTACACAGTAATTTGGAAACCTTTAAGACTAATTCCACCTGATTAACTGAAACAAGGGGCACTTTCAGATGTAGCCACTGTAAGGCTTGCCAGTTTATCACACCCACAAAGTTTACAGTGTCCAAACAAACAGGCATTGTTGTACATACTAAAGCATATCATCAATTTTCAAAATCCCAGCACTGATAATCTCAGATTTCAGGTTATTGAGAAACTACAATTGAATTCATAAAAAAGGAAACTTCAATCTGTAACTTCTTTAGAGAGTATCAAGATGGATATAGAATTTCAAGACTCTTGCACCAGATGGGTTGTTGAAAAATGCAAATAAATAATAAATAAATAATGATCTCTTTTAGACACTTAAAATTTTTAATTTTTTTAATGATTTTCTTCAGCATATTCTAGGAGGTAATAATACCCCAATTCTAAATAGTCATATACAATTTTATAGCAGCTTTTCATTCCAAAGTTATTACTTCACAGCTGATTCTGTACATACCATATATTTTTTTTTTTATTACCAAGGTAATTTTTATCATCTTTAGGATTTTTTTCAAAAATACGGACTTTGACATTCTATTAGCATTAGCTATTAATTACACTAATTACCTTTTCATACCAAATAACACTTGCCCTCATTCCAATCTCTGTGGTATTTTCCTAAAAAATAACTTACTATTCCACCTTAATATTCTCTCAGTAACATCTCAAAATATGCCATTTACAATACTCTGGATTGCCTACTGTTGAAAATGGTATTCCATAATAGTGGAAATGTAATTACCGTATATACTCGAGTATAAGCCGACCCCAAAAAAAATGGGAAAACTTATTGACTCGAGTATAAGACTAGGGTGGGAAATGCAGCAGCTACTGGTAAATTTCTAAATAAAATTAGATCCTAAAAAAATTATATTAATTGAATATTTATTTACAGTGTGTGTATATGATGAATGCAGTGTGTGTGTATGAGTGCGCAGTGTGTGTATGAATGCAGTGTGTGTGTATGAGTGCAGTGTATGTGTGTATGAATGCAGTATGTGTGTATGAGTCCAGTGTGTGTATGAATGCAGTGTGTGTGTATGAATGCAGTGTGTGTATGAATGCAGTGTATGTGTGTATGAGTGCAGTGTGTGTATGAGTGCAGTGTGTGTGTATGAATGCAGTGTATGTGTGTATGAATGCAGTGTATGTGTGTATGAATGCAGTGTATGTGTGTATGAGTGCAGTGTGTGTGTATGAATGCAGTGTGTGTGATGCAGGGTGTGTGTGTGTGATGCAGTGTGTGTGTGTGTGTGTGATGCAGTGTGTGTTTGTGTTGCAGAGCCTTGGTGGGGGGTGGGCATTTTTATATAAAAAAAATTATTATTATTTAAATTTTTTATGTTATATTATTATTTTTTTAATAATTTTTTTATTATTATTTTTTTATTATTATTTATGTATTATTATTTTATTTAGTTTTTAGTTCATTTTTTTGTTATATTATTATTTTGTTTATTATTATTTTTATTTATATATTATTAATTTATCTATTTTTGGTCCCCCCCTCCCTGCTTGATACATGGCAGGGAGGGGGGCTCTCCTTCCCTGGTGGTCCATTGGCAGTTCAGTGGGGGGAGGAGGGGGGCTGGCAGAGCTGTTACTTACCTCTCCTGCAGCTCCTGTCAGCTCTCTCCTCCTCTGCGCCGGTCCGTGCAGCTCCTCTCTCAGCTCCCAGTGTAAGTCTCGCGAGAGCCGCACTATGACCCCGCGGCTCTTGCGAGACTTACACTGGGAGCTGACCGAGGTGCTGCACGGACCGGCGCGGAGGAGGAGAGAGCTGCAGGAGCTGCAGGAGAGGTAAGTAACAGCTCTGTCAGCCCCCAGTCTGTATTATGGCAATGCAAATTGCCATAATACAGACTGACTCGAGTATAAGCCGAGTTGGGGTTTTTCAGCACAAAAAATGTGCTGAAAAACTCGGCTTATACTCGAGTATATACGGTACCCAGGCTGCCAATACTCAATACCCAGAAAATTACTTTGTCATATTTCCAGATATGACGATTTTAAGGTATGAAGACACAAGGTTTGTGACTACTAAAAGTTGCTACTAAAAAAGACTAGAAATACACAATTTTAAAACACCCTGGGTTGTTTACTTTTGCAAATGGCATGCCATCATGGGAATAATTCTCATGCCTGGGCTGCCATACGGTCTCAAAGGCAAAATAGGCCCAGCAGATCAACCTGGCAAATGTCAATGTGTTAAAAACTGAAATGACCAAGCCCTATATTTGACCCTGTAACCTTCCAAAGTACCATAAAACCATGGGGGAGCATTGGTGTACTTGTGAGACATCACATCATACAAATATGTGTATTTTATTGCAGAGAAAGCTAACGGTATTAAGACATTCATAGTTAAAATGCTGTGCAGAACATTTCTTAATTTCCTAATCTTTTTTTTAGATTTCATGAAATTACATTTCATATGATGTTAAATGAAAGCCCTATTTCTTATGAACAAAATTATATATAAGTGTGGGTTCACTTGATTTAAAAGAGGTAAATTATGGTTGAACAAAATATAGCTCAAATTCAAAATTTAGTTTTGCTAAGAACTTGTTTAATTGTCTATGTCCTTAAAGGGACAGTTTAGGCACCATATCAACTTCATCTAAATTAAGTTGTTATGGTGCCAGGGCACACTCTTACTTCAAGGTGTTAAACCGTTCTCAAGCAGTTTGACCCCAAATTTGCCTACAGCGCCCATCTCATCTCCCCTCCGGCAGAATCTTGCTTCAATAATGCAGTAATGTGTCTACAATGTCTTAAAGGAACACTCCAGGCACCATAACAACATAATCTAAATGCACAGAATGCCACCAGATACGTGCACCACTGATTTGCTGAGAGCAGTCAATCAGTGACTCCCCATTCACAAAACTGTCTTCAAAAAGGTAAGTTTCTTAAGGGATTGTAGACACAATACTGTATTATTGCTGTGGAGCCCTGTTATACACTCAGACACACCAGCAATTTGAAGCTTTCAGAAAAGAGGGAGTTTAGGTCAGAAAAGTGGGACAGAGGGAATTGTATCCTAAATAAGTACACTCCGTAAGTGTGTATGTGTATAAATTCCTACATGAGACAAAGCAGTCCTAGCTTTGTCTCATGTGTCTCTTTTGATCGGGTTTACACTTTCTTGATATTCCATACACTCATTGAGAATTCCTCATAAAGAATCAAGTGAATTTCGGTTAGTGGCTGGCAAACTAATGAACTAGAAGGAATTAAATTAACTCCAGACTAGCCACTTTATATGTGCACAAAGCAAATAATTTACATAACAGAAAATTAAAGGCACATTGTAGGCACCAAGACAACTTAATTTACTTGAAGTGGTCTGGGTGCAATGTCCCTGTCTCCTTAACCCTTCAATGTAGATTTTAGCGAAACTGCATTGTGTATATTGCAGGGTGAAGACTGCCATGCCATGGGGGAGGGGAGACACGGGGACAGAAGAACACTCTATGGTTAAGAGTACAGTTTCCATTCCCAACACTAAAGTGTTATTTTAATTCACCCACAAACAAAAATGGAGCAGAAGAAGAGCAGAGTACAGAGTCTATAAACACCTCCATCATTAATCTGTGTAAGCACCAAGAGCAACAAATGTCACGTGACTCATTTTCCCTGTATTTCCGGTGAGAGCAGTGACAAAGCGCATCAAGCAGCGAGTAACTGCGCGTGCGCACCAGGAGAGCGCAGGCGAAAAGGAAATAAAGATTCTCAGCTCTCTTTGGGACGTAGAGTTTGCACATCGTCTGCGCATGCGCATCATCGATATCCTGCTCATGCGCCGTCGGAGTCAACAGACTGCGCATGCGCGACAATTTAAAGCCCACTAGAAATCGAGACAAGCTTAAGAATACGGAAGAACCGGGAAGAAGCTGCTTCCTATAGGGACAACTGGCAAGTATGTGTTACCAACCAGTGTGTGCCTGGTAACGGTGGGGCAGCATGGTGCAGTGGAGAAGGCAATGATGGTAAAAGAAAGTAATTAGTAATGGTGTCAGTCATGGTGGCTGATGTAGCTCAGTGGTGGCCAATGGACAATGCAGCTGAATATCATTCCCCATGATGGTCAGTCGGCTGAACGAGGTGGTGTTCCTTTTACAGGATGTTTACAAAGCTTTAACTGGCAGGGCATCTTGGGAAATAGTAGTCTTCAGAATCTGCAGTGAGTATAGGGGAAAACTGACTTAGTGGTGGTGGTGGTGCTGCTGCAGACATTTCTGGTTAGGACTCCTTCCTCATTAAATGCAGAGCTGTTGAACACATCAGTAAAAAATTGGTATCGTTTTGATAGCGATATAGAAAACATAATCTAACTCGAAGTTAACATTCCCAGAATATTGTTAGGTTATGTGGGTCACGGCCTACCTACAAGTAAGACTTTCTGTGAATGATGTTTAAAACTTGCCAGTATAATAAAATGTAAAAGTCATACTAACTGTATTTACACGCTATACGATTGGTATCATTTTCTCCTCTGTTTTAGTTTGTATTTATTGTGAAAATGTGCCAGCCTTGCAGGTTAGCATCACATTGTTTGATGCAAATGTTTGTTTTTATTGTAGAGTTTACTGCTTCTTAGGTGTAATCTGTTTGTCACTGGCTTATAGGAACACTCTAACTGAAATTCATTTATTTATATTTTGTGTGTATGTGATAGTTTCAGGTAAGATTTTATGCCCACCCAGACATTTCCCCCCCCAATATAGTTAAAAATCACAGTTTAACATACCTGTAATCCAACCCTGAGACAGTCCGCACAGCAACTCAGTTCACTAATAAAGAATAATGACTGTTACTCAATGAAATGCTTCTCATAGACATGTGATACACCTGCTGTATGAGAAGCATTGCATGCGCACCCAGCATCTGGTGTCTGCATGCAAAGTTTATTTAATTCAATTCTCAAATCTTTCAGGTATCCCAACAATCTCGATTTTCTGCAGGACTGTCCTTATTTTAAGATCCTGTCCACCATGTTGACATTGTTCCCAGGTGTCCAACTTTTGGTTATACCATGTAGCTATCTTTGGAAAATGTAGTACAAGTGCATAAGAGAAAAGCTCAGTGTGCCTGAGGAGTGGCTATAAAAAGTTGTGGCCAACTTATCTTGCATGCCAACTGAGAGGCCTCTGTGTGTCAGCTGTGGTATCTCTGCCATAGGTTTGTCACTGCTGGTTTATGCACTACATTTGATCTAGTGATTGTTCTAGGTAACAATTATGGTAAATACAAGCATACATTTTAGATTTAGTTCTTCCCAGTCACCTTAAAGAAACTCTAAAGCATTAAGAATGCAAATACAAATGTGTATTCCTAATGCATTAGCGTCCTTGTCCCTAATAACCAGGCCCGTCTGTCCTTTCCTTACCACCCCCTGTCCATCCTTTCTCAGTTGGGGATAAAATAATTTTTTAATCACTGCTTCTATTGCGTCATGGAGGACAAGTCCTCTGGTGGAGTCGGTCCAATGCTGCTCATAGAGGAGCACTGGAAACCTGATGTCAATCCGTGACTTGGTTTTTTTCCTCTACAGGCTGTCCGTATGCAGTTTGAAAAACAAAAAATAATGCAACTTTTATTACAATTCCAACCCAGTAAAAAGATATACTGAGACAAAGTAGGGACTACTTTTTTCTCAGTAATTTGCCTTTGCTTGACACTTCTAGACACTGGGCGATTTATTTTATTAACAGGGCTTAAAATTTGAAGTCCTTTGCTACTAGCCAGGTCTTGAAAGTTACTCTCAACTGCATACCTGAAGGGCCCATGGCATACTCCCCAGTAGTGAATTCCCACTCACAAAAGTGGAAATTTATAATACAGCATTTTGAATCCCTGGAGTGCCAGTGTACAGTGCATTTAAAAAGTATTCTGACCCCTTCATTTTTCTTAGAATGATTTTATGTTGCAGCCGTATGCTACAGTTGTTTAAATTTTTTTTTAATTTTATATTAATCTACACTCAATACCCCATGATGACAAAGCAAAAATCTCATTTTAAAAGCGTGACTGATGTATTAAAAAGAAAAAAATGAAATATCACACTGACCTAATTATTCAGACCTTTAGTTATGACATTTGGAATTTTATCTCTGATGCATTTAATTTCTCTGATTCATCTGGAGATGTTTCAAACACAAAAATGTGTACTAGCAATTTCTTATGTTGTTATTAAAGCAGCTGCAACCATCAAGGTGACATCCCTGTTTGGGGGAGAGGCCTGAGAGTGCAGTAGAGGGTAGTAATACTTAAAGTTGACCTGCAGGAGGAGCAGCCATCTTTTGTATTCGACTCCTGGAGCATCCAATCCCAGGAGCTACATTGGTGCTGTGCTCACATGCACAAATTACAACACTGATGTTTATAGAGGCTTCCCAAGATCACTGCATCCTCCATAGGGGTCCCAAGTCCTTTAACCCAGCAGAGCTAATTATTGCAGTTTTAAAGAAACTGCAATAATAAGCTTGATGGGTTAACGCCACCTGTAGTGGCTGTCTACAACTAGAGGGTCTTCCAGGTCATAAGGGGCCTTGTGATCGCCTGACGCTGGGCGTTCTCACGCTATTTATGGGGACGTCCAGCGTCACACAAAACCTGATGGGTAAATCCTAATGAAAGCGCGGCCTGTGCTGCGTATGCACATTAGGTTTCCCACGTCATTGTGGGAGGATCGACGGCAGACCCAAGCCAGCGTGAGGAACATTGGCTCTGAACAGAGGTAAGTGACAGAAGGGGTTTTTAACTTGTTTTTTCTGGCATTATAGTTTCCCTTTAATCACCGTCAATATGAGTATTTCATGAAGATTTTACTTTAACATATGGTTTCAATAGAGACATTCAGAAAGTAAGATGAAACTATTAACTTCCTCTTATCTTTCTGTGTTTTTTTTTTTTTTTCTCTCTCTCACCTTTTCAGTGTATTGGTTATTGCAAAACTGATAAAGTAATGTATACAGGATTAGAGTTGTTCCTTTTATTTATCATTTGACAGTAGTCACAAATGGTGTTTGTCAATTGTCTGCAGTTATTGTCTTTGTTCAGAGTACAAGAGAGGAAAGTATAGTAAGTGTTGGTTAAGAAGCTAGCGATGATTTTGATTCAATTTAATTTAGTGAGAATTCTTTAGTTAAAGTAAGTTTGGGGACTTTTTTTAATTTTGTGGGGTTTTTTTACTTAATTTTTTTTTACATTTTCTTCTCTCTAGATGTGGTATATGTTCTCCTATGAGTCACAATGGACAAGATTTTGGAAGGCCTGGTAACCTCTTCGCATCCATTAAATCTGAAAAAAGTGATTGTTAAAAAAGTTGTGGAGTCTGCAGAAAACTCTGTAAATGAAGAGCAATGCAAGGCAATGTTCAATCTTACTACACGCTTGATTTTGGAAGGAGATGATCTTTTCCAGAAGCAAGTTGGACACCAGGTTTTGGAAGCCTATGCCAGATATCATCGCTCTGAGTTTGAGAATTTCTTTAACAGGAACTTTGTCCTGAGCCTCCTTCAGGAGGGCTATAGATCATTAGAACGTAAAGATATAGCTATTATTGACTATATACATAATGGTCTCAAGTTGATCATGAGCTGTCCTTCTGTCTTAGAAATATTTGCTGTGTTACAAGTGGAGGTTTTGAGAATCGTATGTGAAAGACCAGAACCTTTATTATGTGCTAGGTTAAGCGAGCTGTTGAGTGACTTTGTACAATGTATTCCAAAGGGTAAATTGTCCATCGCATTTTGCCAGCAACTTGTTAGGACAATAGGACATTTCCATTCGGTTTCTACACTGGAGAAAGAGCTGCGAGAATATGTTTCTCAAGTTACCAAAGTTAGTAGTTTATTGCAGAACATCTGGAAGGTTGAGCCATGTACTCTATTACCATCTCTTCAAGAAGTATTTGCAATTATTTCTTCTACAGGTAAGTGTTTTATTGCTCTGCATTTCTAAGTGGTTTGCTTTGATGATGGTGATAATGTGTATCTTATCTTCACCTAATAATCATGTTCTCCAGAGAGATTAATGGGAGCAGACACCACTATTCACGTAAAAGTGGATCTATTGCACACTCTGCACAAGGACATTAAACTTGTGGTTTACGGAGTTTAACATCTTAACGCCGTTACGCCTTTCTATGCCGTCCCGCATTAAGTGGGCCTTAAAGCCGTTGCGGCGGCATAGAACATCGTAACGGCTTTGAGCCCCTGGAGGTCCGGTGAACTTACCTCCGCCGCGATCCTCTTCTGGAGGGCTGCCTGACAGCCCAGGCAGCCCTCCACAAGCAAATGAGGCCCCCTGTGTGTGTGTATATATATGTGTGTATGTGTGTGTGTGTGTGTATATAACATCATACAAAGTGTATTTTAATACTAATTAAAAGTACATATATTAGTATTAAAATACACTTAGAATGACGTTCAATATATTATACGTATAAATAAAATATTGAAACAAAATTTTATATAAATTATATATTCATATGTAATTTCTAAGTGTATTTTGTTATTAAAAATAAATATATATATGTGTGTGTGTGTGATTACATTAGTATACACATCGAATTTAAATACCTATAAATGCATATATATTAAAGTTCTACATGTATATTTAAGTAATCTTTTAACATAATTATGTGATTTGATTAATTAAAATTTGATTAACATGCCTGACAACACAGGGAGAAAGTGCAGAGAATTTTATTCGCAAGTACTATATTTGACCCTGTAACTCTCCAAGACACCATAAAGCCTGTACATAGGGGGTACTGTTTTACTCAGGAGACTTCGCTGAACTCAAATATTAGTGTTTAGAGAGTCACATATATAAGGCTTGCATTTCATATTTTTTTTTACATTGAAATTTGCCAGTTTGGTTATGTTGCCTTTGAGACCGTATGGTAACCCAGGAATAAGAATTAGCCCCATTGTGGCATACCATTTGAAAAAGTAGACAACCCAAGGTATTGAAAGTGGGGTATGTCCAGTCATTTTTAGTAGCCACTTAGTCACAAACACTGGCCAAAGTTAGCGTTCATATTTGTTTTTGTGTGAAAAAAGTAAAATATTAGTTTTTTTGTTTTTTTTCACACAAAAACAAATATGAACGCTAACTTTGGCCAGTGTTTGTGACTAAGTGGCTACTAAAAAATACTAAACATACCCCACTTTCAATACCTTGGGTTGTCTACTTTTTCAAATGGTATGCCATTATGGGGGTAATTCTCATTCCTGGGCTACCACACCATCTCAAAGGTAACATTACTAATCTGGCAAATTTCAATTTGAAAATGGTACGTTCTATATTTGACCCTGTAACTTTCTAAAACACCATAAAACCAGTTAATGGGGGGGGTACTGTTGTACTCGTGAGACATCTCTGATTACAAATATGTGCATTTTTTTTGTAGTAAAACCTAACAGTATCATGACATTCACAGCTAAAATGTCAGACGGAAATACAACTTTAAAAAAAATCTTATTTTCTCAGGTTTTTTTTTTAAATTTTATTCATAATAAATTATGTTCCATATATGAATAGATAATGATAAATTAAAGCCCTGTTTCTCCTGAACAAAATTATATATAAGTAGTGTTGGTGCACTTAATGTGACAGGGAATTACGGTTGAACAGACATATAGCGCAAATTCCAGTTTTTGTTTTGATCAGAACGTGCACTATTGACTCCGTCCTGAAGGGGTCAAATAAGTAGGCTGTGTTTTTTTTTTTGTTTTTTGTTTTTTTATTTATTTTTTTTACATTATATATAAAATGTAGTTGGCATTTGAGACCTGCCATGTAATTGTGTATGATAAAAGAACATTTAAATGTGTTTGTTTATTTTTCTCTTTTCATGCTAGATGCTTCATTTGAACCTTCTGTTGCTCTGGCAAGCCTTGTGCAACACATTCCTTTACAGATGATCACTGTTCTCATCAGAAGTTTGACCACTGATCCCAATGTGAAGGATGCAAGCATGACACAGGCGCTATGCAGGTACAATTACCAATTTTTATATATATATATAATCGGCTAGTTCCTTCATGTTATTTAATTTGTATGTATTAGTCGTTGTAGGTTTGAAATTATTTTACCTAGTGTGTCAACCAGTACTCTTACTGTCTGTAGCTTATAAGCAAGAGGAAAATATTAGGCGTAACTGCCAGAAAAGTCACAAGTATACATCCATCTAGTTGCCCACCAGAGCTTTAATGTTTTGTTTGAGATGGAGATTCCACTAAAATGTTTATAGTGTCAGGAATGCTGCTGGTTGTGATTAGTTGATAGTACCAGCTGTCCACTTTCAGTTTTTTACCACCAGTCCATGTTTGCAAACATAACCCAGGTCTATATGGTGGCATTCTGTCTACAATACAACAGAATAGCTGAAATCAAGACTAAATGTTAAAAACTTTCCTGCTTTCGGAGAACATTCTGCAGGTGGAAGCATAGCTCCTAAACAGTGAGCTGTGCTTTGGGGTATTTATATTCTTGGGGTAAAGGGAATTGACCGCCAAAGGTTTTCTTTTTAGACTGGCTTTGTATTTTGTGCTGTTACTTCTCTAGCTTGGTCCATTAGTAATACTGGACAAAAGCACAAATTAGATTATCTAAATCTTCTGCAGCTGAGAAGCATAATACTTTATAATATATTAATGTGTTTTTGTTTTTATAGGATGATTGACTGGCTATCTTGGCCTCTAGCTCATCATGTGGAGACCTGGGTGATTGCTCTTCTAAAAGGACTGGCTGCCGTCCAGAAATTCACCATTCTTATTGATGTCACTTTACTAAAAGTCGAACTGGTGAGTTATTGAAGAAAATTTAAATTAAAAAAAATCGGAAATTGTGTTCTAAAATGCATTTATTTTATTTTTTATGGGGATGTGGTGTAATTTTTGCACTTTGAAGCCACAAAGTGGTTTTGTTTATATTTATTATTTGTTTAGGTCAGAGGTCAAAATAATGCTGCTGACTCTGACCTGGCTCTAAATCCCACTTCAATGGTGATTTAAATACTAGTAGTCACTTCTTTGACAATGAACATATAACACTGCTATAGCTGTACTTCTCACTAGTGAAGCAGTGTGGTAATAGCCCCCTTTGGGCTACCCCAGGACTTGACAAGTTTGTTTGGAATCTAGGAGCCAGCTAAAAATGTTAGGAACCAAATTTTTCAACATCAAAAATACAGTTCTTAAAGGGACACTATATTTGCCAGAACCACTAAAGCTTAATGTAGTTGTTCCAGAGTCCATAGCATGTCCCTGCATGCTTTTCAATGTAAACACTGCCTTTTCAAAGAAAAGGCACTGTTTACATGGCTGCCTAGTAACACCTCCAGGGGCAGTCAGTCTGACGGCCTTTAGAGGTGATTTCTTAGTCAGTGCTGCCCAATGTGCAGTACCTAATGCTTCCTATAGCGATGCATTGATTTAATGCCTCTCTGTGGCCTCTCTGTGTGAAGGAGATGATTGGTGCAGCTTGATGTTTAGTTGTGCATGAGCACCAGTCTCCCACGGTTTTACTATGGGAAAGCCTTGGATTGGCTGAGATCGTCAATATTTTTCCCATGTGATTGGAGTGGGGAAGGTTCCCTAAACAGACACACAAAGTCACACAGTGGGGAAAGGGGAATAGAGCTGAAGTAAAAGGTAATGATAACATAAATTAATACATAATGTATGAGTAGTTTAGTAAAAAACAAGTTACCTGCACTCTCTCCCTAATATCTATGTATTTTTAAACAAATGGAGGTTTTTAGTTGCCTCCAATGGCCATGAGAGGGTAAGCCCACCTGCCATCGTCAAGGTAGACCCTCCCCCCCCCTAGGTGGGTTCTAACTCTAACCATTCACCTTGCTTAGTTGAGCTTCTGGCAAAGACATCTCTAATGATACATATATATACACCCCTATACATTTATTAACCATTAATAGGATGAATAGTTTAGTAATGATGTCAATAATGTCAAGGTGAATTAATAAAAATTTAACGAAATGTGTGTGACTTTTGTGGATACGGTTCTTTGAAGTTAATGGTAAATTGGCCATTATATGAACGTATAGAGGGAACAGTGGGGTCTTCTTTTTGCCCACTACTCGTCAGTTTTGAACTGCAGGCCAATGATTAGCTCTACGTCAGTCATAAATTATGCCCATTATTTATTATTTCCAGTATTCTCTGACCAAACATTAGTCATTGCTAGTGATTTTTGTTCCTTAGCTTAACCGCATTCATCGGTAAAAAAAAATATATATATTTTTTTTTTTTATATTGACATTATATCACATTAACAAATATACATTAGTCAGGGCTTCCACTGTGATTTCTAACAGCAGTCTCTGGTAAGCTTCTATCAGTTGGTCATATTTATTGGCAAAAACTAATTGATGTCCACTTGGTGTGTACCTAGTTCGGTATTGACATTTTACCACATTAAGAGATAGAGAGAGAGAGAGAGATATATATATATATATATATATATATATATATATATATATATATATATATATATATATATAATATAAAAAAAAAAAATTTATAAAGGGCTGCTATTGCAATTCCTAATAGCAGTCTCTGGCAAGCATCTATTAATTTGTTGCTTTTGCCATTTACCATCTTATGCCACCGTAGTTCACTATTCCATACCCTCACAATCAGTCCAATCAGGACCAGGGGCGGGCTATTTAAACTTGACACACTGGGAAGTCAGTTCCCCATGATGAGCCGCAGTGCGCGAAACGCGCGTCGGGGGTTCCCATACTGACCACCGGTTCCTGTGATGCCTCTAAGCTTATTCTACATTTTGACATTTGAGACATTTATTGCGCTTTCCTTAGATTAACGGCTTTCACGGGAAACTGACATGGACCGCAGTTTGCACTGAGTGCTATACACAAGAAAACCAGACACAGGATTACCAATGACAGATAACACTAATTAGTTTTACTTTTTTTAAACGAACGGAATCTTACACATTTCCATTGTATAGAGGTGAAGAAGAGTTTAGGACGTGTCACAGATCTAATTTAATGGCGAAAATGTAGGTGCTCTGTCTAGTAAAAATTAACCAAACGTCTTTGAAGATTAACAGGTCTTTAAATAGGTATCATAAAAGATAACCAAGATGACGTCAAACGCATCACCAAATTCAGTTAACCCATTATACAAAAAGGTAAATGTAACCCCTGACAAGAATTTTCTGTGATGTAATTGTGCCATCTACTGACCAAAATCTAGATGATAGTCTGTAGGGAAGACACTCCCACCTTACTCTATTGGTCTCTATCAACTAGTGACGTATAGAGAACTTCTCCTTTTAAAATTTAAGGACAAAGGAGAGAGACACACTCACACCTAACATCTGAGATCTGACAACTGGAGCCAAAGCTGGATATACCTAATTCTTTGTATCTTTTCCAACTAACACTTAACTTTGAAATTCTTTAAAATTCAGAACTCTGAAAACTTTCCTATCTCCCACAATTCTCATTTATACACCTTTAATGAATATGCCTAAGCTTGAACTAAATTCTACCAAAGATCTGGTAATTATGCTGGTTTAATTGAATTAAATTAATTGATTTTACTAAAAGGCAGAATATACTTGGATAAAAGCTGGTGATTCCAACATTAAGGAGTCATGATTCGTTAAAAATATATAGAATTCATAATTCCATTCCTGCAGGTGGACCAATGAACTCTATATTACTTTTAACTTTAAAAATAGAATACCAAGCAATTATCCAGATATACTGGCTTACGTAATTTAGAAATCGTGAAAATTCTGCAAACGTAAAATCTGGTTAGAATTATTCTTATTGGATGGACATAGGAATGATCTAGTATGAGAAATATTGTATTTGTAAAATGCAATCTAAAAGGATATCTTGCCTATGAGAATTGCAGCCAGCAGTGATTTCAGTGTGATTTGACTGTCAGACAAGTTTTTATTGCTTTACACTGTGCTGCTGTGAGATGTGTTCTGTGTTAACGGAGTTTCAGTAACCTGATTTCAAAAACTTGTAAATCTTGTTGAAAACTGCATACGTATCAATATAATTTGCTATTTAGCTGTCTATAATTTGTGTTAAATCACTGCCATATTGTATACTTATGTTATACCTAAATATTCACCGATTTATTTTCACCCATGTTACATATTATCAAAAAACTATTTTTATAATTAATTTTTGATTAACGTGTGAAATAAAATCCTCTAATGAAACGTATTCCAGGCTCTATGAAAGTAGTGGGTAATTCTCAGCTTTAAATCATTAAACAGGGAAACAGTGCCAAGATATCAATTTTTATATAATAAAAATTTGTTAAATTTTACATTTTTGATAATGAAAATATTTTTAATTATCACCCCATAAATATCCTCATACAGTGCCAAATATTTGACTACAGCATTCATCATTCTGTACTTTCAGGTGTTCAATCGACTTTGGTTTCCTGTGGTTAGACCTGGTGCTCTTGCTGTCCTCTCACACATGTTGCTTAGTTTTCAACACTCCCCCGAAGCTTTCCATGTGGTATGTTATACTAAAATGTTAAACTCTGAAGAATTCACAAGGAGGGTGCCTCTTGTAGTTGTAGCCCTCTATTGCATATCTATTAAACATGAAAAAATAACTGTAAAGTGGGTCATTTGCACCCAATCGCTAGAAAAGCCCCACTGTACGGGGATGAAGCCTATTAAATAATAGGTGGTGGTGTTCACCCTCGTGCACGCACCGGTGGACCTCGGGGTGGGGGATTTTAACTTCAATAGTCAGATCACTGTCTAGCCCCTGTCACTACGCATGGCCAAAGGGTGAGGGCTATTAAATAAAAAAAGGAGGGGGGTTTTCCCACGTTATGCAACATCAGTCAGAGGACTCTGATTTGGTGACTTGTAGAGGAATCTCACTCAGATTGTGGGCCTGTCGCTAAAAAGGACCATGGGGATGGGGCCAGTAAATTATTCAGGGTGGACCTGGCATTGGTCTCCATTAACCGTTGGCATTGAGTGAAGGCTAATTTTAATAATGGGGGTTGGAAAGGGGGGGAGAGCCTTATAAAATGCATGGGGGACATGCTATAGTTTCCCCAGCCTCCACATTTAAAGGGATATTATATGGGGTAACAAGATAACAATTACTGTTCTAATTCAAGAGTTAAATAAATCTACCTTCAGAGTTTCCCTTTATGCGCTTTTTAGTGAGTCTGCATACCGCTTCATTTGGAATAGACTCCCTTTTAATAAACCTTTTGGTGTATATCCCCTAAAGCCGTTTTACTCAACGTTTAGAGTAAGTGGAACTGCTTTGGCAAAATGCTAGCGATCATACTGCAGCTGATATTTGTTTTTTTACATAGTCTTTTTTTGTTTTGTTTTCCCTATTCAGATAGTTCCCCATGTTGGCAACCTTGTCCAGTCTGTTAGGAACGATGGCCTCCCTTCCAGTACAACTTTCCTAGTCCAGTTTACAGAACTCATGCACTGTATGATTTATCATTACTCTGGTTTTCCAGACTTGTACGAGCCTATCTTGGAAGCACTCAAGGTATGTTTTTCTTGAAATTCCATGCACTAAATCTGTTGCCAACAATTTGTTACCAGTTGTACTAGCAATATATCCAAGTATGAATAAATTAGTTTATTAAATGGAGTATTCCTTACAATATTATTTTACTGAAATTTTAAATAACTGTTAAATGTATTGATAGAAATAATCCTTCTCCCTCATTTTGTCTCATTTATTAAATCAACATTGCTCGTTTTCAGTCAGTACATTAACAAGTGTACAGGTTTGTTGGTTTTTACTTTCAGCATTTAAATTGAGCTGTTCATAATGTTCTGATCAACTATCTGGAACCTTTTGAGCCGGATGCTGCTCTGACATACTCAATCACTTGATCATTATAGCAAGCAGCCAGTGGTCTAAAATGTCAGTCGTCACTCCCCACCCCCCCATGCACCTGCTGCAATGGGGGGCTTATCTGCTTAAACTGCTAACTAAAAACATGAAGTGGTCAGTTATTGCTTCCCAGTTGCTAGCAAGTTAGAATGTGCCCCCACCCTTGGCCAGCAAGTGAGGGCTAATATTAGAATGAATGGTGACTTGATGTTTTCCACAGCCCCCACACATTATAGATAACTGGTGGCTTTAATATTGATAACGGGGGGGAGGGGATCTAGTGTTTTCCCATGGGTGGTGGATGGGGGTTTTAATATTGAATACAACAGGGAACCTAGTGGTCCCTCTTCCACCCATGGGTGGCAAGTGTGAGCTCTAAATAAATATAGAAAGGGACTCCACATGCCATGTCCATACCTCCCCATAAAATAAGTTAATGGTGTTTACCCCTTTTACCCCACATTCGCCAGTAGTCCCCCACCTCAGTGTGAAAAAAAACAAAAAACCTTAATAGTGTGGGGATGGACAATAAAACCTAATTGCTGTAAACAAGAAAAATCATATTTTCCGTCAAAGTCTTCTTTCTTCTTTCTATTGTGGTCATGGTGCTTGGAATTTACATTTTTAATGGGAGCAAACCTATCAAAGTGTTCTGCTCTCAAAAGTGGTGGGTGTGAAAGGAAGAGTCACCAATTGAGCAAGGTTGCTGATAACATTGTTTTCCATGGGGATTGCTCTGATTTCAGTACTTTGCACCATTCTACACTTTGATAAATCTCCTCGTGGTATTTTAGAAGAACTATGAACATCAACAAAAGAAGAGTATTTGACCAGACAACAAAGAATTGTTTTTAAAACGTAAATCGGGAATATGTTGCTGTTGCTGCTCACAATTTTTTTTATATTTTTTTTTCTTCCTCTCAAAACTATTGGTTTTCTTCAAGAGACCATTTTAATATAAGGCATTTTATGGATGCATGCATATTGACCTTACTTGAAACGCATTTATTTATCCCTCTTTAGGACCTGACTAAACCTTGTGAAGAGAAAATAAAACTTGTACTTAACCAAAGTGCCTGGACATCTCAATCCAATGCTTTGGCGTCCTGTTTACCCAGATTGTCAGGGAAATCCGAAACTGGAAAAACTGGCTTGATTAACCTGGGAAACACCTGTTATATGAATAGCGTTTTACAGGCATTGTTCATGGCAACAGAGTAAGTTTTATGCTTTTATATACTTTATTATGGCCAGGACTGGAAAAGTATATTTGTATGTGGATAGAAACAATCTGAGCATATAAGTAAATATAATTCGTTATCTTTAAATGTCGATGAGAGACTCTGACGGTCACTTTATCAGAATAGAGTGATGTTTAAGAGATAAGCGCCCTATGAGTGTAACATGCTTGTAACTTCCCTAATTATAGTGGGAGCAGACCATTGGTTGTATTTTGATATTGGACTAATAAACCGGCATCTGAACGTTCTAAACCATTGTGTTTACGTTTTGTGCTGTTTGTGTTTAGTTTCACCAGTAGCATCTTTGTGAGTTTTTTGTCTTTTTGTACTTTAGAACTTTCATTGTGTAATCCTGTATTAGGTCAGTGTATTTTGTGTTAAATCACTCCTTTCTGAATCTCATGTATTGTTTAATTTAAAGTCCACTTTGGGACCCTTGACAATGAGTCCACAACTTGATTTAAAATGTCAGGCACAGAGATCCTTAAATATGATATCTAGGCATAAACAACTTTCATAAAACCACATCACCAAACACAGTCGCACATCACGTTCATTAAGTTCTATGTATTTCTAATTGTCTTTTTTTTTCTTTTCCAGTTTTAGAAGACGTGTGTTATCTCTGAATTTGAATGGATGCAACTCCTTGATGAAAAAACTGCAGCACCTTTTTGCTTTTTTGGCTCACACTCAGGTATATTTGCATCTATAGAAACATAGAATAATTGACTTAAGTGAATTTTGAATTTTAAGACCAGAATATAGCCAAACTGGAAGAATAGCTGACTTTGGGATTTTTTTCCCAGTTCAGCTAGATTGACCTTTATTGAAATTCACTTTAAATCTTCACTTTAGTGCATAACCCTGGTGTTTGGGTATTCACTAAATTTTAGATGCTGTGACACCAACAAGTGTTGCACCTCTTGTTAGGACTGCTATAAAAGTTTATTTACTCCTTCTTCTCACTCTCCATCCCTTCACTGCAACATGTCACTAAAATATTTTCTCTGTTTGTTACCAGCGTGAAGCTTATGCCCCTCAAATATTTTTTGACGCTTCTAGACCACCTTGGTTCACACCTCGATCTCAGCAAGACTGTTCTGAATACCTCAGGTTTCTACTAGACCGGTATGTAATATATTTAATTGAATTTAATCTTTATTTATTTCTTAATGTTTCTTTTTTTTTTTTTTATTAATTTATAAAAAACACATTATAATGTAATGTTATTAATAACACCATCTACAAAGTATGCATGTAATAATATGCAACGACCAGATCTTAGACCAGCATACAAAATCAGTGTAGATTTTAGGCATAGTACAAATAGACAGCAAATTTAACCCCTTAAGGACACATGACGTGTGACATGTCATGATTCCCTTTTATTCCAGAAGTTTGGTCCTTAAGGGGTTAAACAGACATTGGACAGACAGTGGGTGAGTCCCCAAGGGGGAGTCCTGGAGTAAGTACAAAATCCTGGATGCAAACCTACATCAAACTGATAAAAGTACTAGAAATGAACGAACCATCAAGGAACATGATTACCGTTTTTAGAGATTCTCTATTAAAGGGATCCTATAGTGCCAGGAAACAAAGCTGTTTTCCTGGCACTAAAGGGTTAATAGGTCGCCCCCCTCCTGCGGGGCTGAAGGGGTTAAAACCTCTTTAGCCACTTACCTGAATCCAGCGCCGATGTCCCATGGCGCTGAGGCAGGCTTCTCCAACGCTCCTGGGTCATGCTTCTCCTCCTGGCCGCACGCGTATTAGACCTACCCATAGGAAAGCATTACTAAATGCTTTCCCATGGGGAAAATCTGACGCTGGAGGTCCTTGAGGATGTCCAGCATCAGATAAAGGACCAAAAGTCAGTTTGGATTCCGGAAGCCCTCTAGTGGCTGTCTGCTAGACTGCCACAGAGGGCAGACTTAGAACTGCAATGTAAACATTGCAGTTCTCTGAAACTGTAATGTTTAACATTGCAGCACTAGGTGCAAAAGGGTCACAGCACCCAGACCACTTCAATTGAGTTATCTGGGTGCACCTGATAAAGTCTCCCTTTAAATGTAACAAATCAACACATCTTGGGGAACCTTAGTAATGCCTCTTTCCATTTTTAGTTGAAATTTGGGCTGTTGATTAACCAGAGACCAAATTGGAACAGTGGGCGTTTTCTACTGTCTGGCTATCATAAGTTTTGCAGTATGTGAGCAACCAGGGGGGTGTGATTTCCAAGAACATGTCTGACATTTACCTGTAATAGAAATAGATCAGGACAAAAATAAAAAGGTTTACTAATTAATGCTTGAATCTTCAGAACCGTTAAATAGGAGGGCACTCCCACCATATGTGTAAAAATTCACCTCTACGGTCCCCACATCTCCAGCAACTATGTACCTGATCTGAAAGGATCTTAGACAATCTACTTGGAACCAAGTACCACTTATTTAAGAGCTTGTAGTGGCTCTCCAATAGGTTGAGACAGTGAACATTTTTACAAACATTGTTTCAAGAGTTCCTCCATTCATCACAACTAATGTGAAAATTTAGATCTGTGTCCCACTTCTTAATGAGTTTGATGGGTATATCAGGATCCCTACTAACTAGTTCTATAGGAAGGCAAGGAATTTTTATTTTGAATGGATTAATCTTTTTTGCATTTCTCCCAACACTTTAATATATTGTCCAAAATCATGCTGTCAAGTTTAATTATAAATGGGCTTCTCTGTTTATTCTTTATTAGCCAGAATAAAGAGTTCAGATCAGTATTGTGCTGCTCCGTCTGAATCAAAGATTGTTCGATTTTTCATACGATATTTGTTCTTTGGCGCTTTCTAATTGGGTGATCAATGCATGTGATAAGTTTACTATCTTCATTTTTATTTGTATACTATTTTTTTACCATTAAATTTACAGTGTTCTGCTTTAACATGATATTAATCAGCCATATATAAGAAGTAATAATGGTGATCTTATCTCTGTACGATAATGAAGGTATTATCCACATAAAATATGCTATTTTAAACCATTGCTTTCTGTACATGTATGAACAAAACTAAATTGACCTTATTAAAAATTGTTTAAAACAGTCATTGCATATATTGTTTAACCCTTTTTGTATTTTTTTTTCATTAGATTGCATGAAGAAGAGAGAACCATTAAAGCACTGACATCCAAAATTCCTTCTGACACTGTGGTTACTGATAGTATTCTTGAGGACCCATCATGTTTGGATACTGAAGGTCTTGCTAGCTCTTGTTGTAACTCACACATCATAAGGTGTGGACGAGAAGAAAAAACATTAATAGAAAATATGTTTGGGGGGAAGCTTCAGACAAATATTTATTGTCTAAACTGCAAAAGCACTTCACAAAAGACTGAAGTCTTCTCAGATCTGTCTTTAGCTTTTTGTCCTTTGTTGGCAGACAAACCTTCACTGGCGCTGGCTTGTTCTCCCAAGAAAAAAGATGATGATTGTATAGAAATTGATGTTGCCCCATGTGCAGAATTGTCTTCTGTAGAAAATAAAATCTATGGGCCATTAGAACAGGACACTGACATCAAAGTACAACCTAACCTTAATAGCAGTGTGGATGCTTCTTCGTGTGCCAGTATATATGACTCTGCCTCATCCCCACAGAAAATTGGAAAAGAAAAAACACTTTCTGTTACAGACCTTCTTAACTATTTCTTAGCACCTGAGATCCTTGATGGCGATAATCAGTATCATTGTGAAAAATGTGCTTCCCTCCAGAATGCGGAGAAGACTATGCAAATTGTGGAAGAGCCAGAATACCTCATTCTAACCTTACTAAGGTTTTCATATGATCCAAAGTGTCATGTGAGGCGGAAGATATTGGATAACGTGTCCATTCCGCTGGTTTTGGAGTTGCCAGTAGAAAGAACTACCTCCCTGGCTTCATCAGCAGATTGGACTCTGAATGCTGATATTTCTGATGCTGTTGAGAATCTAGCTAAAAAACCGAAACCCTCAGAAACAGAAGAGCTTTGTTGCACCCAACTTGTACCTTATGTTTTAAGTTCTGTTGTGGTACATTCTGGCACATCATCTGAAAGTGGCCATTATTATTCCTATGCCAGAAATGTTACAAGCACTTCACAAAGTCTCCAGCCTGAAAATTCTTCCAAAATTGAGTTAGCTGGAAGTGAAATCTCCAGTTCTCTTGTTGGAAATGAGCCCCGATTCGGTGATGTGCCAAAAGAATGGTTTCTGTTTAATGATAGCAGAGTGACCTTTACTTCCTTTCAGTCTGTATTAAACATCACCAGTCGGTTTCCAAAGGACACTGCCTATGTACTAATTTACAAAAAGCAAACTTGTGGTGATGTAGATGGAGTCCAGCCTACTACAGCAAGTGGAGTTTGGCTAAATGGGGATCCTCCACTCCAGAAGGAACTCATGGATGCCATTACAAAAGATAACAAACTTTATTTACAGGTAAGATACATTATTTTTTATTAAATGAATGTTTAGTTATATCCAGGAGAAAAACAAAATTACAAGAATTTTTTTTTTTTCTCCCCTCTATTTCTTCCTTAGGATTTAGAATTCCCAGTTGTGTATTTAAAACAGCAGCTTTATACTTTGTGTGTATTGTGTAGTGTTGTTGTTTTTTTTTTTAGCTGCTATATTTAAACAGAACGTTATTTCTTGTATGTTATATAATATAACCAAAAGTACAGTAGCTAAGTAATGTGTGATTGTTTAATATTTATTTTATACTTTGTTTCTTTGCCAGGAACAAGAACTCAATGCCCGTGCAAGAGCACTGCAAACCGCTTCGGCTTCATGTTCGTTTCGACCAAATGGGTTTGATGACAATGATCCTCCAGGAAGCTGTGGTCCTAGTGGAGGTGGTGGAGGTGGAGGATTTAGCACCATTGGCAGACTTGTCTTTTAAGAGATGTGTTTTTTTTTATTTTTTTATTTTAAAGCAAAAAAGTAAACTGCACTGATATAACAACACTGGCCAATTTTAACTGTGTAGTATCAGACTGTGACTTATTACATTATAAAACAAAAACAAAACTAATTTTTCTACAACAGAACAAAGTTTCATAATGTACATCTTGAGTGGATATCAAATATTTCTCCCATGCCTGAACTAAATCTGGGAAGGATTGTTTTAAACGCATATCATCATACACAGAGTATACAAGTAGCGAATATACTAATGTGTACAACTCATAAATATATATCTATAAATATATTTTTGAGCTTATCTGAGATATATATTTAATATATTATGAACTGTTTAGTATTTGGAAGCAATGAGGAGTTTCATTAATTTCAAATTTCTTGGAAGAACAGCGCTTTATGGTGCATTCAATACCGAAAGCAATAATTTCACGTTTTTTTTTTTTTTTTTATATATTACTACTTCTTCGCCAGTTCAGGGTAATATTTAAAAATGTAACTTTAAAAGGACATGTATGCATTTATCTACTGTGTGTTCGCACACTCAGCTGTTCATACCTACACATTTTTAAAAAAAAAAAATCACATTACTGAACCTTGCAAGCCCTTGTAGAAACACAAATTTCTAAATTGTTTTCAGAATTTTTTTTTTTTATTCTATTTCAGGGAGTAATATATGCTATGTAAATGAGGGAAAGTGATGTATGTGCCTTGCAGTACTGTATATCTAAAATGAATACTTTTTGATTTGTGGCGTGTGACTTGTCCTATTTTGCTTTGTCACTATTAGGAACTACAACTTAAAGCTACTTACTTTTTCTAAAGTAAACAGTTGTTCCCGAACTGTAACTTCCATTAATTCAGTATTGTATTCAAATGTATGATGATTTTTGCTTGATCTTCACTCTTATGTGAACAGCAGTTTTATAAAATTCTGTGGTTTGACTTTTAATTTTTTACTTGGAATAAGGTTTGTCATCCAGGTTCTCTTGCACCTCTACCACATATTGTTTCTATGTAATAATCTTAAATATCTACTGTATTTCTAAAATGCCAACATACTTTGGCCCTATACACTACTAGATGAACCAAATATACAGATATCTGGATGCTAGCTACCTGCTCACAATTAAGATATGATTATTTGGACAGTGGCACATTTTCTTCTATTTTTTTATATATATTTTTTTTTCCTCTCTCTCTCTCCCCCTAAGCACTTTCCAATTGATATGAAACAGTTGAGATAATAAAAGGCAGTTGGTTGTTTTTAAGTTATAGTATTTACATGCATGAGCTAGATATAAATTACATGCTTTTTATATGAAGAACATTTATTTATTTATTTATTTATTTCCTCTCTAAGGAGTACCAAAGCATTAGTATAGTTGGTGGCCCAGGTTTTTTTATTTAATAAGATCTGGTTTGAGAAATAAAATAAATGAAAAATCTAGAGGTGATTGTAGTTGTAGCATTTGCATGTGCAGTCTGTCCTGGTAATTCTTGATGTCTTAGCCAGTAACACCAGACACTTGTGAAAGGCTATAATATAATCAAAGCTCAAACATTCCACTCTACGCTAGCTGTGTGTTAGTAGAAATTATTTGCTGCCTAATGGTCCCGGGACTGTCCTAGCTTCCAGTGATGAGTAACTGTTAGGACTGGCTAGTAGTTAGAACTTTTGAGCTCTGGCAAACTAGCCAGAGATAGTTTAAAATATTGGCGTCTAAATTGTGTTTTGGCATAGAGAGAAGGAAAACAAAAGCTAGTGACAAAAACAGCAAATATAAAATGTGTTCTAAGATAAATCCCGATGCAGCTGAGACTTTTCTCTGTACTTTGTACAAGACCTAAAAGGTCTGCCCCTATGCGGACAATTTGAAAGTGAACCATAGGTTGTCGACTTAATTATTATTATTTATTTTATTTTTTTAAAGTAGCATGGTTTGGTAAAAATTGATATAAAATACTATATTATATTTGTCTCTGGTAAAGTGGTCCCTAACCTAGACAAAGGTAAACTAAATAAACACTTTATTATGAACAAAATAGTCACAGTGCATATGTATATAAAAAAAATATTACAAATGTACATCAGTCAAAATAAAAATGAGAAATCAAATGGGAATAAAAAAATTTGGTGGAAAATAGACAATCCTATCTAACTTGCCATTCGTGCTTCAGTTAAATTAGAAAGTTCCTAGGTTACTTTATTATATATTCATATATAAAAACCTTTTTAGCTCAAATTGCTACAGCCTCCGTTCTTGAAGCAGAACAAAGGATGCAGAATTCACCTTTTATGCTCTGTGATAAACACATCATAAACGTGGCTGGAACTAAAAATACAATATATTTTCAGTGTACCCATACCAGATCACATCAGGCAATCCTAAGTATTACATGTTATGTTTGTCATGTTTAATGACATAAAAATACAATTGTTTACAAAAACTGTTCCCAAAATATATAATACAGGGTGTGGTATTTCCTGAAATCAGAACTATACACTGTGTGGTATATATCAATCTGTTTTTTACATTTCTGGCCATAGTTGATCTTGCTTCCCCCTTCCCCCCACCCACACACCAGTAAGTTGTTTATGCAGACACACACCCAGTGAAATCAAAGACGACTTTATACTTTTTTTCCCCTATGGCAAGAGTAAGAAATTGGCTAGCTACTCATCCTAACCCAGGTTTCACTTAGCATAAAACCTATAGACACATTCTTGCTTTTAGTTCCCCCAGCTGAGCATGAAGTCCATTTTAGAGGGCAATGAATGCAGTGCTTCCATAGAGTATGAATAGAAAAATTAGAGAATAAGATTTTCTCCTTTCCTAGCACTATCCAAGAGAGCTCTAAGCAATGGACTACAAAGCTGTATAAAATCTAGAGGGCGGGGGGAAAAGAAAAAGACAACCATCTATCCTTATGAAACAAACACTGAATCAAATATATGGAACTGCAGATTCCACAGAATTCATAGGCTAGATCTGTCGTGCTCATTTGACTCAGCATGTGTTAATTAAAGGCAAGATTTCATCATTATAAATTTACTCTGAAGATGCCAGGGATGAAGCAAGTGCTCTAGAAAGGAGAGTTCTGATTCCTTGTAGACGTGGAGATCCTGAAAATGTGTAAGCTTTCATTATTATACTCATTATTCAATTTACAATGGTAGTTTTAGAACCAACTTTTCTTTTCTCGGCTTACACTGGAATGACGTAAAGCTGAAAAGAGAAATGAACTTCTTCCAATCCAGGAGCGTCAAAATGTACCAACAATTAAAATCAACAGTAACAGGCAAGCTTCTCTGTCTTCATAAGTTTGTATTTCTCTTTTGTTATCTTTCTCCTTTTCCATTGGTTCATCCTGTCATGCATGCTGCTGGTCCAAATCCTCTCTTGATTATTATTATTTATAAAGCACCAACAAATTCCTCAGACCTGTTAATTGTATGTTCTAAGGTGTATAAGACAAATTCAAGTGGCGATAAATGGCGCTAAAAACAGACCGAGGAACTTATTGGTAAAAATAGCTGCATCTCACACAGTGTACAAGCTCAAAAAGAAACACTCACTACAATAAAAAAAACTAAAATAAGCTGTGCTGTGTCTTTAAGACTATTATATATCAAAAACCAAATTATTAAAAATTTATATATTAGAATACATGCAATTGTATTCCACTAAAGTGCATATATATTATTTAGTGCAAAACAAAAACCCCACTTTCAAATGTATAATAAAGTAGTGCAGTAATCTGTGCAAAAAAACGCAGTAGAGTGCCACACATTACTTGCATATTAGTATATCCAAAACATTTTTTTAAAATGTCAGATGGCTCCAAATTGGAAAAACCACATGAAAGAGAAAAAAAAAAAAGAAATAACCACATATTGTAAGATAAAATCTAAATATAGCTATATAAAGGGAAACACTCTACACTATCTTACAATATTGCCCTATGTGGTTATTTTTTTTTTCTCTTTCATGTATGTTCTATGGTGCATTACTCAAATCCTGAATATGCATCTTCACAATCCTGTGAATTCGGATGTAAAAAGAGGGAATTGGAGGCACACATAGGCCATGCATTTCTCAGCAGTGTTGCTGCCATAGAGACCAAAATGTGTACAAAATACAGATTAAGGAACCGCAAACAAACAAAAATTGTTTAAAAACTTACATGACTATTTAACCCTTTAGTGACCAGACCGTTTTTACATTTTCTTACCGTTACGGACCAGGGCTCCTTTTACATTTCTGCGGTGTTTGTGTTTAGCTGTAATTTTCCTCTTATTTATTGTACCCACACATATTATATACCGTTTTTCTCGCCATTAAATGATCTTTCTAAAGATACCATTATTTTCATCATATCACATCATTTCCTATAAACAATTATAAAATATGATGAAAAATGTAAAAAAAAAACACTTTTTCTATCTTTGACCCCCAAAATCTGTTACGCATCTACAACACCCAAAAAAATCTAAATAGTTTCAAATTTTTTTCCTGAGTTTATAAATACCCAATGTTAACATGTTCTTAGCTTTTTTTGGAAAGTTATAGGGCAATACGTACAATTAGCACTTTGCTATTTACAAATCATTTTTTTTTTTTCAAAATTAACAAGTTACATTGTAACACTATATGTCAGGAATCCCTGAAAAACCCTTCACATGTATATATTTTTTAAAAGAAGACAATCTAAGGTATTAAACTAGGGGTATTTTGACTCTTTTCATGCAACCATTTTACCACCAATCTATGCCAAAGTAAAAAAAAAAAAATAATTGGTGATTTTCTTTGACACACATAGCAATGTAAAAATACATGTACAGAGAACTTTAAGGGTTACTGCCAAAAAAAAAACAATATGTGTTCAGCAACATCTCCTGAGTACAGTGATACACCCCATGTATAGGTGTGTCGGGTTCTCTGGGGGCTAAAAGACCTTATTTGGAGGGTGGCCATTCCAGTTTTCCAACTTGGAATTTTCACAGCTGGCCATCATGCACCTATGTCCTATTTGGGGCATTTTTGAAGCCGGCCAATGTAATTTACCCATATCAAACCATATATTTTTTTAAAAGTAGGCACCCTAGGGTATTTTAAAGGTTGATATTTTAACACTTTCCATGCACTAATTCTACCACCAGTCTTTGTCAAATTTTTGTGTAGTAATTTTTTTGTGTTATTTTTCTCTCACATTGTACTTTAGGCATGGATTCTCAGTTCTTGTTATCTGTTACCGACAAAGAACACCCTAATATGTGTTCACCAACATCTCCCGAGTACAAAAGTGCCCCCAATGTACAGGTTTTATAGGTTTTTGCAAACTTACAGGGGTCAAATGTAGGGCTTTTCCATGTTTGCACGTTGAAATTTGCCAGATTGGTTTGCTGAGCCTATGTTACCTTTGAGACCCTATAGCAGCCCAGGAATGAAAATTACCCCATGATGGCATACCATTTGTAAAAGTAGACAACCCACGGTAAAAATCTCCCAAGTATAACAATACCCCCTATGTACAGGTTTTATGGTGTTTTGAAAAGTTACGGGGTCAATTAAGGGCTTGCCCAATTCAGTTTGCCAGATTGGTTTGATGGTTC